ATTACCGTCTCCCTAGCCAGGAGGTTGATGCTGTATAATTACTGGGTGTAAATGAGGGCATTTTGAGTCCAATACATTGTTACCGTGACTTTTTTTAAACTAAAGATGCACAAAACTAATGTTTTATCCTGAAATAGCATCAACAGAAGGTTCTAAACAAGCATGCTCGCCATAAGCTTTTTTTTTTTTTTTTTTTTAAAAAGAGTAACAATTAGCCTAAAAGCATTATCATATCCATTATGAGCAGGAGACACAAAATGGGCTTGTAGCTCAACTAAGGTGGTGATATGTTCCCATAATCTCCATGGATCTCATTATCTCCAGCTTATCCAGTTGACCCTGCTTTTTATTCCATTGTGTCGCCCACCGCCATTGCTGTGCTGATTCCTGTTTACAGTAGATGCCCGCCGTGCTAAAAAGCTCTGCCGGGGGCTTTAGCTCAAACAGCCTCTTCACCAGTCTGCAAACTTTCCAGCTGAACAACTACTGCAACATTTGTATGCAGTGCACAGAGAATCAAAAGGGCCTTTCATTTCATCTCTGTGGATCATTGGGTTTTTCTAATATCCAGTCGGTGTTGCTTTAGCTTCTTCGCCGTCCCTCTGCACCAATATATAAGTGATTTTATTACTGCTTCACACTGTATTTTCCAGGTGTAGTTTCCGCTGCTTCCGTCTTTTCTTTTCCCCGACAGCCGTTTCATCGTGGTTTATGGATGTGGGATTTGTGTTCATAGATGTTCTGCTGCTACCGATAAAATGATCTCCAACTAAAACCTGAACTAAAAGTAACGGCCAAAGACACTTTAGACTGTTTAGAGCCGTCAACCACAGTCAAAGTCATTCAACTAAACACTTTGTTCAGGTAGACTAAATAATGCTACACTACAAAATATTGCAACAGACGATTCAACAGAAGTAAACACAAAAAATAAATAAATAAATAAAGTTTGAATTTATTTTTTTTGCAAAATTGATGACAAGTCTGAATCAGTTTTTAATGAAGGTGTTCAAACCAATACCAAGTGGTTGAACGTCTGTGGCAGAGGATACAAGTGCAGCTAAAAAATACATCCAACATCAACGTGAAAAGCTCGGTTCTTTATGCTTAATGCCGACAACTGATTTTGGATTAACCGATTAATACTTGGATAGCAATAGGAGCTTAATATTATGATTTTTGTTTCCTTTTACACCGAATTTGAACTGGGAGAAGCTAAAACCACCACTTAAGGAGTTCTGGGTTGAAAATATTTACTGACAAAGAAAGTGTTTCATCTTGGTGCTAATATTAAGCCAAAATTATACAAAGAATCTGCATGCTAGAGTTAACGATTTATCAAATACTAAATTAGTTATTTCAATAACTGATTGTTTCAGCCCTTATTACATCATCCTTGGGTTTTAAGCTGTATACAAAGAGTGCTAGCAAACTAAAACATGTAGGAAGCAGATGTCAACTACCAGCTCATGCAGATCATCCACTTTACTCCGACACCTCAAACTCATAACAGTTTGTGCAAATGGCCGACAACACAGACCTCAAGCAGAGTCAGGCCCCTTAGGCTGTTATTCCCCCCCACAGAGGAAAATCAATAAGGCCATTTTTGGAAGGGAGATAGTGATCTGTGCTCCTTTAATAAACTTCCATCTATCCAACGCTCATCTGCAGCCCACTCTGTGCATGATGAAATGATTAAAATGTAAGTCACACAATAAGCCTCTCAAGCAGAAGGACAGCAAAGAGACAGGTGGGAAGGGCAAGAGGGAGAGAGCAAGGACACATGTAGGGAGAAACAGCCGAGTAAAGAAAGTCTTCCACGGTGAGAGATGTGTACATCGCATGCTTTACATAGATGTAACATGAACGCTAAAATGAAAATAGTGTAAAATAACAAAATGCTCGAGGGAAAACCACTCCCGCCCCCCCAAACACCTATTTTGAAATGTTTAACAGTCATCCAATCGCCCATTATCAATCATAATCCAGATTTAAACAGCTGCTGGGTTACAGCTGGGTAGGAAAGTGCTTCCTGAATCCAAGGTGGTGTTACCCTAGTCAATGGCCGTATTATCAGTCTAAACACGCTCCACTGAGCAGCGTGGCATAGCTGACAGCCAGGCCTAGGCACCAGCAAACAACAGGCAGTGAATTCCAGCCCAGTGACAGCTCACCCAAACTACACTAACATTCCTGGGCACCGAGTGCTGCACATGTTTTCAGCGACATGTCGTCCACCGCCCAACAACCCAGAGCAGAACCTGAGCAGAGAAGATCTGGGAGGAAAAGACGGTGTGACACAGATGTCACGTCACATGGTAATAACAGCCCACCCTCAAGCCGAGGCTCCCCGGTTCGAAAGGCTCAGCTGTTCGGTCAGAACCGCAAACGAGTCTGGCTTGTGTGCTTCTAAGATGACGGAAAGTAGCGTCACGAGAAGAATCTTTTTTTCACTGGCTGCCGAGCTGATGGTCGACTTCTGTCTGGAGACGCGAAATTAAATTGGAAGTAGAAGCCGAGTGGGTGGACTCCTACCCACACAGGAGGATACAAACATTTAAATAAATCTACAGTCAGAGGCAGCTGGAAACCATGTTCCTTTATCATTTCATGGCCCGCACTTCTCTGATCTCTGTGGCAACAGCTAAAAGGGAGGCATTTTAATTAAAAAGCAGAAACAGCGGTGGACAAAACAGCGTCAGATCTCTTCCTCAATTCAACAAAGAAGAAACTTTTAAAGCAGACGGGTAGGCAAATCTTTACCGCAATCCACCTTCAGACAGCAAAAGGCTCCAAGTGTGAGGATAAACAATTTTGACAGGACCATCGTCACAGTTTGTTAAAACTGACAGGTAAAAAAAAAAAAAAAAAAACAATTTCTGATCTTTTATCTCATGCAAGATTAAAACACACACTTCTGCTCCCAACCACACTCTAGGTGTGAAATGGGTAAAATGGGGCTTAGTAATGTTTAAAATATTGTGTTAAGATACAAACTGAAACATTTAGTAATCCCAAGATCTGTCAGTTGTGAGTCCAAACATAAAACATAACAATAAAAAAAAAATACAAGTCTGAACCCAACAAAAATAAAATAAATTAAGAGCCACATTTTCAAGATGAAGGCATCTTCAAAGTGCTTCATACAATACTTCCCACCATTAAATATTTTTTCTGCTCCTGATCTTTAAAAAATTAGTTGACTCCAAGCTTGACTCCAAATAACTAGTATTGTACCGCAAGCGATTGCATGTCTGCTGCAGCGACATGCAATTTGCTCTACCAGTTTGATCAAATCTGTCCGTTTTCCGTGCATCTCTTGCTAAACCACTATAGACCGCAGACATTATGTTGAACAACAGAATTTAGCTCTCCCTAAAAGGGTTTTTACTCTTTACAATAATTCAGTGACAGAGAGACTGTTGGCTGCAGTACCTCACATCATCATGCGAACTGATCATACAGCTGAGACAGGGTGACAAAACGGTCATTAAATTGTAACGTTTGCAAGTAAAAGAGTTTCTGAAGCAGAAGAAACATTTTTTCGTTTCCACACACTTGAGTGGAAGTTACTAGCCAAATTATCAACACATCGTCATCAGGCTTAAGCGAGGATTTCAACTAACTAGATGAAAATATTTTTGGGAGCTTCAACATTAGCTGTCCGTTAGTAATCCCAAGATCTGATAGTAACAGGTTGGTTTATGTCCAATAAGATCAGTGATAAAATCCCTGGAAACTTTTAATTTTCAGACAATGAAAAGAAAAACACATTTAAAAAAAAATCTAAATCTAAATCCCTTTAGCCATTTTCCCCAGAGATATTAAATAAGGTAAACTACAGTTTTATTTTGTGCTTTCCATTTATTTTGAAAGCCTAAGTCTTCACTTTTTTTTATCAGCAGCATTAATAGACAATATAAAGTACAATTATGTTATCAACCTAAAGATTACAAGAAACAATGTGTGGCAAACCAACGCTAAAAATAAAAACCATAACAAAATATTATTTCAAGGTCTTCTCTTAGGAAAGCGATATCCAAACAACTTATGATTTATTTATCGCTTATCCTTTCTAGGGAGGCACTTTATACCTAATACTGTGGCGTGCGTCTTTTAAATGTGTTTTTTTTGTAAATGTACCTTGCTTGCGGACATCCTCCACTGCAGCAGTGAGTTCATCCTTAAGGAATTGACTTTCCTTTGCAATCTTTTCTCCCTTTTCCAGGAAGTTCTCGGTAGCAGACTCGACTGACGCAGCCAGAACATGAGCCTTCTTAGAGCGCCCCTTCTTCTTGTTAGATGGGCCTTTGTTGCTCGAGTTGACCAAAGTGGTGACCTTTGCAGAAACACAAACAAATGCATATCAGATATGTATTTGACAGAATATATGATACATTATATTGTCTATGGTCTATTGCATTTATTTTAAAGGAGGCAGAATCCAATCATTTTTAATATTCTTATTTTTTTTTTTTTTTTGTCATTTGAGAAAATATTGACAAAGAAGATAATATTGAATATTTAATTCTAGGATTTGCAGTTTTGTTTCATAAGCTTGAAGAAGAACATTTAATGCGAGTTTCCATTACCTGAGTAACAAGGGGCTCCAGTAGCCTCTCCACTGCCAGAGTACGAATCTCCAGGCTCTTTGGGTCCCATTTGAAGTTGATGTTAGGTGTGTTGATGCTCGTCATGTTGACTGGTTCTATAAGGGAAAAAAGAAAAAACAAAAAGTTATTCAACACATTACAAAAAAAGGTTTTGGTCTAAAAACAAAGATGAAAAAATTCATGAAAAAAGGGGGGAAAAAAGCAACACAAAAAAAACTGCTTTAAGAGCAGGGTCAGAGAAATAGACAATGACTGCAGTACTTAGTTTAAAAAAATAATAATTTAAACTATATCAAACTCATCTTCACCAGACAAATGAAAACTTATAAAACATTTTCTTTTTCAGAAGGCAAATACATTCTCCAATTCTTTTTTTTTAACCCATGAGGTTGACCAAGTCTGCTATAGAGCAGTTTTGTTTAGTCCAACATCAACCCTGTATTGTAAAGCCACTGATGATGAAACGCTAGATTTCCTTTCCACAGTCAAGCTACATCAGCCTCCTGCTGCAACTTTAACAGAAGCATTTAATCGCAGTTTGAAATGCTGAGGGTTTTTTTTTCCCCCCCTTTCCCACATCGCCCGACACAGAGAGGTTACATAAGTGATCTTCAATGGCTCACAGCAAGAATGCAAAGATATGGGAGGATTACATGAGAAAAGTGGCCACACATCAGATCAACACTTATCCTAGCAGAACTACAGAGTAAAAGATGATTTATGGGAATAATCCCCGATGCCATGCCGTTATTATTCATGAGCACAATATGAGTTTAATGTGAAATGCAAGTGCATAAATACAAGTAAAAACAGTGTTACGAACATCTACAATGGCATGTTGATTAACGTTGTACTCGAAATTGCTAATGCTAAAGTCCATTGGCAAATGCATGTCTGTTAGCCAAAACAACAGGAAAAATAAATTTGTATCAGATAATAACAATAAAAAAATGCAGTCTATACATGATACTGGCTAAATGTCTCAGTCAAACTCACTTTATTTTTCCTAGATTTATTTTTTTTTTCCCCCTCCAGAATATTTTTTTAAGCAATGTACATAAGCAAAGTAAATACAATCCACACTCTGGATTGATTATAAATGCAAACATAATTGGATCTTCCTGATCATTTAAAAGCCAGTCTGACTTGGAAAACCCCTATTTTGTCTGTCATAGAATTTAGATGTGTGCTGAGCTGTTAAAAACAAAGATTTTTAAACACTGGCTTCCTATTGTGAACATCTTTTCATAATACTCTCAATGAGTTTATCTGAAAATGTCCAAAATACTAAAAAGGTCCTTTATAGAGTCAACACCCTTCTCTTAGAGAAGGGCAGTCAACAGATGCACACAATAACACTGTGGCCCAATTTCAATTTTTCTTTTCAGACACCCACTGCAACTCTATTGATTAACTATCAAACACGGGGCAAGCAAGGGTAATCAGCAACCCCCGAAGGCTAGGAGTGAAACTAAAAAGTTGGTCAACTGTATTGCGAGAACAAAGTCATCACCAGCTCATAGCCTAGATTGTCAACAAAAGACCCAATATTACAAAAAACATAATGCGAGATTATTAGGGTGGGTGGATGGGGGAGCACTGATGATATATTTCTGCCATAGCGCCAGCAGGCGTTACTGCGGCTTTAGAGTAAGATTTAAAAACGTCGCATGGTGATATTAAGAGACCCGACAGTGTTGAAGAACTGAGTCGGAAACAATATTTATGGATTCAGAGGAAAAAAACAAAAGAAAAAAGAAAAAACCATGAGCTGTGAGCACAGTTGTAAGCAGCACATTGACCTACTTAAACTCTGCAACTGATGATTTCAAAACAAAACTGCAGGAAGAGATGATCACCTGATGTTACTGGTGTCGATCTCACATTTTATTCTCAAAATATTTTTACTATATATATATATATATATATATATATATATATATATATATATATCCCCTTTGGACATCCTTTGGTGGGATAAAAAAATGCAATCTATAAGATTGTATTTCCTAGGCTCTGATATGAAATATTAACCCAAATTTGCATTTCAGCTGGTTATAAGTGCAATACTGTTGACCTTGATAAGTTTGAATAAACATATCAGTTTTAGCTGATACATGCCATACATGTCAAAAATTACTTCCAATTTTGTATTTCCATCACAACAGGATAATAAAAGCACTGATGTAAAGCCTGTACACACCAAATCTCTGAAATGCACATTCCCCCTCCCAGAAACAACTACAATTGTCTTTTTTAACTTGGGCCATTTCCTCCTCGTGATTCCAAAGCGCAGGAGGAGCTAAACTTCAAATGTGTTTACCCAATCCACTTGGGTGGGGCATTTAACCTCGTCAGGTAAAATCTTCCCAAGTGAAAAAAGTGAAACTAAAATAGGGTCCATACCAACAAACATGAGTTGGAAATTCAGAAATGTTGATTGACAAAACGGTTTCCAAAATACACCGAAATTTTAGTTTAGTGCGTCGACTAAACTCAGCTGCTGACGTAGTAGGTGTTCCTTTAAGCTACTCAGGTAACACCTGTTGCCCCAAGCAACTCAAAAGTATTACCGTTTTATTTTTCCCCCGTTTAAATATAGGTCCATTTAGAGTGTGAAAATAACACAGTTGTTCAGGTTCACGTCAATGGGGAAGTAAAATAAACCTCAGCAAGTACTTCTTCATATTTAGCCAGCTTAGCTTGACGTACATACGCTATTACCTGCTAACATCACCCAAGCATTCCATACCCCAGCTACTGCTAACGCTAGCTGAATAACAACAAATCCCGAGCTTAGCCTTTTTTCTTCAGCCTTGCTGCCAAGAAAAAAACACAAAAGTAAAAAGCTGATAGACAGAATCGAGTGTGCTTAGATACAATTTAATAATTCACAGTGAGAGAAGTTGATATGCTGTTAATTCTAGGATAACAATCGCTTAGATTTAACTGGAGTTTAAAAGTTCAAAATGGAGGAATGGGAAGTATGGAATTCTTCGCCTCAAAAGTTTTCCTCACCTTAAAGGCTTCCGTCAGTTGCGCTCGCCTGTCGACACAAGTTAAAGTCTCTTCCTCTCGACTGAATGTGACAAAATGTTAACAAACGTTTGAAAAAGTTTAGAAGCCGTTCAGCGCGTAGGGAGTTTCGGTTAAGACCGTTTCGATGAGATAGACTGTTGCCCAACAATGGAGGAGACGAATCGGCGGGGGCCGAGGGGGAAGGCCGGGGCGGTGACCGAGTTCCTGAACTTCCTGGCAGAGAGGGAGGGCGACCACACGCCACAGCAAGCCCGTGGAACATGGAGGTGTTCTGGGCGTGGTCCTCACTGTCCGTAGCCATATATGGTTTAATTAGTGCTTACATAAAACCGAGCGAGGACTAAGTCGAGCAGCTTAATCTGTTACAAGGGAATGTAAAAGGGAGTTGAAATGTCAAATTAAATGGCATTTCAATTGAATTGAAATGGATGAGAAAGTGTGAGTTTTTTTTAGGTTCTCGAAATGTCCATAGTATTCTATGGAATGTTATCAGATTGTGTTGTGAAATCCTTTCTTAGGAAATGCCTTATTCCCATAATGAAAAAAAAGAAAACATTAAGAACTGTGAGAGCTGGAATAACTTTCTCCATCTCTTAATTTTATTACCACACGGAATATTCTAGAACTATGGCACTCATGGTACATTTAACTCTGGTGATATTAAAGATATATTAAGGACTTTTTTATGTCAAAGTCACAAACTAATTTTCTGTCATGTACAGTTTAAAAGCATCAGCAGTTAGAAATATGACAACATACTGACCTTTGCTTTATCAGAAAGTTCTCAAAATAGAAGTGCAGAGGAAAGAATTCTGAGAACTCCCTGCACGAAGGAACTGAAGTGGACAAGTCAGGAACAATAGTGACCTCTGAAGTCAGAACTTCAATCTGGGAAGCCATACACATACCCAGACCATTTTTACTGGGGGGGGGGGGGCAATTGCCCCAGTAAACGGTCCAATCAATTTTTAACAGAAAATTGTGCTCTTTTAACAATGGGCCCAAAGATCCACTTTAAAGGGTTACAAGAAAGTCTGACTGATTGGAAAAACCAGCCTTAGTGTTTATTTCTGATTCTTGGGAGTATGGTTACACAAAAAAAGATATAGCTGTACTGAGGGAGACTTCAAACTTGAATTTAGACCATAAATTCACCAAGAACACAGGCAAACTGTGTTTTTTTATGTGTGTGGAAAAGTATCTCCCTTTATCTATTTTCTGTGTGTTATCTAGTTGTAAATAACTAGATAACAAAATGACAAATTCAATTAGTCATTTTTGACCAGGCAAAATGACCAACAAATTCATGGACTTGGAGCACTTGGAGCAGGTTTCAGCGTTTCATACTTTCATAGTTTTGGTAATTTCATGCCAAAGCTTTTAGGGCTCCGTTGATGCCAAGAGAAGTACAGAAAATTCCCGACACCATTATAACATCACTGTCATACCAAACCATTAGTACAAGGGAGAACGTCTTGTGCTGCCATCACCTTTCTCCTTGAAAGTTTGATGTGCTCTGCATCCAAAAATGGTATTCCACCTACCTTGATTTCAAGGTCTAGCTGATTGAGCCACTGTTTCTTTTCAGCCAGTTATTGCTTTTGACGTCTGAAATCAAGAAATTTAGGAGTGATAATTCTAGATGAAAGTCCTATTGGATGAGGACTTTCTGAAATACTCAAACTAGCATTTGGCTCCAACATCCCTTCTACATTCAGTATCATTTAAATCCCTGTTTTTACCCCTATCAAGGTGCTGGGTTTAAATTGATCGAGTCTAGATGTCTAGAAAAACTGAAGTTGGTAACAAATAACAAATTGTGTCTATTTGTTAAAGCTGTACTGCGTAACTTTCATAAACATATTTTTTTTTACATATTTGTTAAAACTCAATGTCAACAGTATGACACAGGTAATCTGTGAGACATTGAGCTGATCTGGCTTCTCCAAGTGCTTCCAGTGCTAACTAGAAACAACCACTTAGAGTCAGGAGGCGGGTCTTAGAACTGTCAATCACCCTCCACGTGGGGCAGCTCACCTTTCTCTTTCCTTCCACCCCTGCTCTCTGCCACACTACAGCTACCAGAACCTGTTGTGAATGCTTAGGTTCATCAGCATGGCGGCAGATAAACAGTTTTCCTGTAACTGTAAGCTGTGTCTCTGCCATTATGGAGTCTACTCTGAAGAGATGTCCTCTTTATAGATGCCCCAACCCATCCATCTCTTATCTTACATGTTTATCCCTAGTGGGGTCACGAGAGGTGCCAATGCCTATCTCCAGCGGTCAACGGGCGAGAGGCGGGGTACATCCTGGTCAGGTCGCCAGTCCAACACAGGGCTGGGTGTCTCAACTTACAACGAAAGCATATTTTTAGACATGTTGGTAACATAAGTCTAGATATCATGAAAGAAAATGACATTTGTAAGGAAAGAAATTTTCACTCAGCACAAATTGCTTTGTAAAGCAACTGTCTTTGAAATCAATACAAACCATATGTGACAGTAATCTTTAAAAATATATTTCACGCACGTCTCCCCACTGTTCCTTTGACAAGAAACCGTCTCTCTGACACGGCTGAGTTAACCTTGCTCGGCCTTAGAATTTTACCAGAAGTATTTTTCAATCATCCCCTTTTGTGTGTTTGTTTGCGCAAGCTTTTAAGTCAGTCGGTTCAAGGGTTAGCAGTTTCAAACAATAACAACAGCCTCCAGAGACGGATCCCGTTGCACCGATACAGCACAGGGTGAACATGTTGAAAGCAAATGCAGCAGTCTGTCACATTTTATTGGATTACTGAAACATCCTAGTATCCCACATAAGTGATCAGAAATGTCACCAATTGAACAAAAAAAAAAGCTTAATAAAATAATGTTTTCACAGTTTCAAGGTCATGAAAACCCATTGAAGTCATGATCTGAAAGCAAGAGATACACTTTTATCTTGTTGTCCCGGCACCGACTGATAACATTGAGACATGTGATAAACATATTCAAGAGTCAAATATTTTTGGTTTGGGCCTAATGAAGTGTGACTGACATAAATAGATTATCTGGAGGGGCCGGAGGCCACTCTTTAAACGTCACTTTCCCCATTTAAACAGGCTCACAGCTCTCTCAAACACACCCAGGCATAAACCTCTGCTTTGCTGTTTTTGGCAAACTTTCCATTGACAAACTGCACTGTCTCTGCACCGTGACTTTTCACCTCTTGTGCTTCTGAAGAGCAATTTTTGCCAACATTGTGGTTTCAACTGGCCATCAGCCGATTATTGTTCTCAAGGTACATAAAGATTACAACGGAGCAGAGAGTAACACAGCTCTGCTTGTCTTGCACCTCTCACTGTGCACTGCTGAAACAAATGTATTAGTTTCACAATATTTGGGGGGGGGGGGGAAGAAAAAGCAAATAAGAAAAATTTGGTCTTAAACTAGAGTTTGTTGGGGCCCGATGGCATCTCTGTTACATAGACGACTTCAGGATGACTTCTGATGAGAAAGTTTGACTTATTAATTCAATATATAGTTTCTATGCTTTTAGAATGAATTTGCAGGGATAAAGAGCTTATTTGCAGTTGTGACAGTTTGTACAGTGCCCTGCAAAAATATACACACCTCTTGAATCCTTCACATTGTGTCACACTGCCACCACAAACTTTGATGTATTTTATTGGAATTTGATAGACCAGCCCAGAGTAGACACACTTGGTGGGAAAGAAACATACTTTTAAAAATCATTTTTATAAATAAACCTCTCAAAAAATAGTCATGTGTTTGTATTGAGCCTCTTACTTTGTAAAGAATTACGTTTTTGTTCATTCTGTGCAAAAGAGGTCGTGCTCAGATTGGATGGAGCGCACATGTGAAAAGCAATGTTCAAGTCTCGAAAAATAGATGTAGGTCTGGTGCATGATCTGAACCATTTAATTCCAGCTGAATGTTTAGGTCCATTGTTCTGCTGGTGAGCAAATCTACACCCCAGTCAAGTCTTTAGCAGCTTTGAACAGATTTTTTTTCTCTCTTGGTTGCTGTTCTTTTTAATGTTCTGGTCTTTTTCTTGTTGACATTTTAGGTAGATAGCTAATTCATGGTACACAGCAAATCCAGGAGGCCCAGATTAACACTGTCAGATTTGATTTCAACACTTTTAAAGTGTCTATATGGGTCCACACCAGAAAGTGTTAATTTAACTCTTTTTGGAGAGTTGGTATCTTAACTCTTATAAAGTGTCAAATATCAAATCTGCTGGAGTTAATAATTTAACAGTTACTGACACTAATTCAGTGTTAGATCTTAATATTAACTCTCAGAGTACTTCTTTAACTTCTTAAGAGTTATTTGTAATTAATATTAAATAGGTACTTTATTGTGATGAACTTTTAAAAATTCTTTGGAAAATAAACATTTAATAATAAAGAGGCAATGATTTTCTCAAATGCATTTATTTCAAAATGTGCACCATAATTACACAACATATTACAACGTGGAATAATGTGCATGTTTCACATGTCACTTTTATTCACATATTGCTTTTTAAAAGGTCTAGCATATCAGCTGGGCAATACAAAATGCAGTATGCTTAGTACATTTTTCTTCAATACCATATGCATGAAATTGTTCAAAGTACAAGGTGGAGAAAGTAAAGCTTGTATCAATGCATGCAGTTCAATGTAATATGATAGAGTACATTTTCTTTTAACAGGTAGATTGCCAGATATGTACAGTACATAACAGACCAACCTGATAATCAGATCCATCATTTCTTATCCAGTTTCTGTTTCTGTTCATAAGAGACAGTTCCTCTCTGCACTCCACCAGAGAGATGCCCAGTCACTAACAGATTGCCTTCAGGTTGTTGGGCTGTTCGTGTAGTTTGGCCGGAGACACCAACATGCTCCTCTACTGCATTAGACAGTCTTCAGTACTACAGCCTGAGTACTACAGCCAGTGTCGGTCTCTGGATCATAACAAACAAAAAACAGAACAATGAGAAATGGAGCGAAGGAATACATTTTTACTACAACTCTAACAACAAGCCTCCATTACAGAAATGTGGAGTTTCAGAGATATTAACACTAAAATAATCATTTTTGGAGCTTGAATCTTCGAAGAATCCATGGAGGGATCAGGAGGGGGAGGTTAGCCTGACGACTGGCGATTCATCCTTAACCAGACTGGTTCTAATATATACAAAAAGGCAATAAAAGGATTAAAACATGCTGCAAAACGTAGATAAGAAG